GGCATTTTCTTAATCCTCTCTTCTTCAAGTGATGTTTCTTCACTTTTCAAACACTAAACAAATACAATTCTTTCTACTATTAATACATATAACTTACATACCACATTAAATATATATTCCTTCTTCATCATATTTTTCTAATATTGTATCTACTAACATTGCTTCTAAATTATATCTTTTCTATCCAATTCATAACTCAATTTTATTTGCAATTACAGTCCCCTTATTAGACTAATACCCCGTTTCCCCAGCCCTTGTTTCCATTTTGTTTTCCCTTCAGTGTTCAAAATATCTTTATACATTACGATTTTCTCAACAGTGGTTACACTGAGGTGAGTAAAAGCTTCCCTTATTAAAAACCATCCTGGTATTTTCATGTTTTCCATCACATAAAAAAATACATCATTTGTTACTCATATTTAGCATGTTGTAAAAGGAACCAAAGAAAACTTGTTTGAACATCCCATTTATCACCATTCAGGATACATGCAAAAGTATAAACTTTTTTTAGTGAGGACACAGTCATATGGTGTACTTTTTTAAAACTATGGTCCTGGGTCTTATGCACAATTTCAAAATGTGCATCTGATTACTTTGTTAAATATCTAGATTTCAAGGGCCTCTGCAAAACTTTCAAGGCTGGAACTATTGTATCTGCAGCACTGACTGCTATAGCCAGAGGTGATTTATCCAAGGAGAACCTGCCAGTAGAAGCTGCAAGGGACCCAATTCCATGATGTGAGGGGGAATGATGCCAAAGCATTGCCTTTTTTATCATGGATTCAGTGATGTGAAACAGCCTTCTGCTAGAAGCTAGACTGGACCTTCAGAGATGGCCTGTTTGGTTTTTTGTTTTTTGTTTACTTTTTATTAAGTTGTGTTTTATTAAGATGTTATTGGGAGTGTGATTTATTTATTTTTAATTGTGGATGCTTTTTGTAAATTGCATTGTAAGCCATCCTGAATCCGGATGACTAACAACAACAATAGAAGACAAACCGATTCCATCACACAATAATCATTGCATCATCATCATATTACAGGAAGTTACAACTGGTCACTTAGTGAGTTGAGTTACGACTGTTCACTTAGTGACTGTTTGAAGTTGAGGCTTACCTGGGAAAAGGGAGTTATGAACTGGTTCAGAAATTCTGCCAGGTGGGCTACACCCCGTGGTCATATGACTCTACTTCAGGACCTCTGCAATACATCTGCATTAGTGGCTGTTTGCAGAATCCTGTGGTCATGTGACCATGTTTTTTAACAGTTTTACCCAAAATCAGAAGTTATTTTCAGCAAAAAACACTCTTTAGTGAACAATAGGTTCTAATAAAGGAGAATATTTGTAACTCAGGGTTGACATGAGCGGGTCCTTGGTACTCTCTTAGTTTGCTTGTTTTCTTGCAGATGTTTCATTACCCAACTAGGTAACATCACTGATGATGTAACCTAGTTTGGGTAATGAAACATCTGCAAGAAAACAAGCAAGCTCAGAGAACAATAGGTTAACTTAAAGACTATGGTTTTCATTTAAATTATCGCCGCATTCATTTGTTTGTTTAACAATTGCCTCAAAAAAGGTCATAAAATTGGGTCATGTGATTGAACTATTTTACAACTTTCATGACATCAAACATAATGGGCAGGCTTCATTATAGTCAAGGACTACCTGTATTATGTTCAACAATGACTGGCTATTCAGAGAAGCTCAGAATGATACATAGAAAAGCTCCCATTGAACAGCACAGCTGATGTTTCATTTCTATACAAAGAGATATTGAGAAAAAGTATACGTTAAAACAGTTTCTCTCCTCACCTTCTACAATTAGTTTAGCTGTTGTTTTTACAGATTCATCTTCTACAAGGGCACAGCTGTAGTCGTCTTCATCAAACTTGTCGATCATTAGTATAGAAAGGAAATGACCCTTCCTATCAGAATGTGTTCGGTATTTGTCTCCAGAACATATCTCCATCCCATCCTTGTACCATTGCACTTTAACAAAGGGCTCAGACGTTTCACATTCAAAGGTTGCCATTGAATCTTTCTCCTTAGCAGTGACATCTTGTAACTCCTGGATGAATGTTATATGCTGTTTGGCTGCCAAAACAACAGAAAGATATTGAAGAGGGTGGAAAGTTTGAGCATAATGACATGAAACAGAAACAGAGGTGTATACCTTACCTTGTACTAATAAGAAAGCATGACTGGAGGTTTCACCAGCTACGTTCACAGCTTTCACCATTATGCTGGCAGAATCTTCTGCTGTTACATCTCTGATGACCAACTCACAAACGTTATCTTCTGGCCAGTACCAATAGATGCGATCTGACCTTTCAATCTGCACACCATTTTTGAACCACTGGCATTCTGGATCTGGTTTGCCTACCACTCGAACACGGAACTGGGCATCCCTTCCTTCACTAATCGTCTGGCTTTGTATGCGCTCAAATATCTTGGGAGCCTCCATGCTTGGACTAAGTTGAACTTTCTCTGGCTTGATGGTTGGAATAGTGATTTTGCCCTCAGCTTCTAGGGCTTTCTTTTCTTCTTCTGTTAACTCCTTGGTCCAATGAAGAAGTTCTTCTTTTGTCTTCTTAAGCAACTCTTCGTATGATTCATCCTTCTTACGAGACTTAAGCTCCACAGCAGTGATAGCCTCATAGTAGCCCTCCTCAGTTCTACGCTTGAATTTACTGCGGAGTTCTTCAGATTCTTCAGATATTTTCTCATGGCTGACCTTTTCTGCCTTTTTGAGTTTCACCACGTCTTTGGTAGTTGCCTCAACTGGTTTGTCAATCTTTTGGACTTCAAACAAAAGTTTGCCAGGCTCTGTTGTTGGAGCTTCATGCCTAGACTCAGGTGCTCGACGAAGTACTGATCTAAAATCTTCCCTCTGTTGGATTTCAATCTTCACTGAATGTTCAACTGAACCTTCAGGGTTTTCTGCAGATATTTTCACTTCACCTGTATCGTATGTTTTGCAGTCAACAATGTCCAGGTAGTAGATTCCATCATAGCGAAGTCTGAATCTTTTACTTTTACGAACAAGTTGTCCGTTGAGGTACCAATTGACTTTGGGTTGTGGGTAACCAGTCACCCTACAGCGGAATCGTGCAATTTCACCTTCAAGGACTCTTGCAGGTTCAGGAAACAAAACTATTTCTGGCTTTTGTTTCACTTTTTGATCTTCTACAATGCCAGTAATGGCCCCTTCATGTGCCATTCTTTCTAACTCTTCAATGCGCTGAAGTCCCTTCCTGCCTTCTGGCAGCTGAGATTCTTCAACCAGGCTTTTCTCGTCTTTAACGATGAGAGTTGCTGACGTATGGTCTGTGCCGTATTTATTCGTAGCTCTGCAAGTAATCACACCACTGTCTCTAGGATAGGAAACATCATAGTCAAGACTGCAATATCCAAATTCATTAATCATCCGAAGTCTGTTGGCTGCCTCCAAAGGCTTGCCATCATGTAGCCACTCTACTCTCATGGTTGGATCACCAATAGGTGTGAGTCTACAGTCAAAATGGGCTGGCCCGAAGCGTTTGAGCCTTAAGGAAGTGAGCTTTTTCTTGAAAAATGGCTTCTGTTGTTTTTCTTTATCGTAAAGGTCTCCTTCCTCCCATTGTTCTTGACCATATCGCAAATGGAGAGGTTCTAATTCTGGTGCTGCAATTTCTTTCGCTCTGTATGTCCCTCTGGGGATGATTAGCCTTCTTTCTGGTCCGGGCTCAGCAAACTCAACTTCCACATTCACTTTACATCGTGTAGTGTCACGTCCGGCTTTATTAATGGCAGTAGCAGTATACCATGCAGCATCATGTCTGACAGTGGACTCAATCTTCAAGGCAGCTTCGCCTTTTGTTCCCTCAATTCTGAAAATCAGAACAGGGAGAGTAAGTACATGATTTTAACAGAACTTTTCAACCAATTGAATTGTTTATGAATGATGTTCATGAATGGGACATATAGCACCCTTCTGTCTTCAAGCATTTGGGGAGTACAGAATTTAGAACAATGTAGGTAGTCCTCAACTTAAAACTGCAACTGGGACCAGTATTTCTGTCACTAAGTGATGCAGTCATAAAGCAGGGTATGCGAGGGTGCATGAGAGGCACTGTACAGGTTGGGGAAGGTGTGCAGGGATATGCATAGGTGCCATATGGGTCAGGTAGTGCACAACTGGCCTGTGAAGCACGAATAGTGGTTAGGAAGAGTGTGAATGTGGAAGAGACTTATCCCAGTGATTTATGATGTTCCTTGACAGCTTCTCCTTTGACTTTCTGGAGAAGCTGGCATGGAAGATTGCAAATGGCAGCCATGGGGCATGTAGCAACTAATCATAAATGTCATCAGGTTGCCATGCAACGGGGCTTCTGGGATTCCAAAACTCCAAAAACTGGTGATAACCACTATTCATTCAATGCCATTGTAACCTTGAATGGTTTCTGAATGAATGGCCGTAAGCCGAGGACTACCTTTATGCTTGCTGGGTTGATAAAAAGAGCTGTAGACACAGCATAATTAGATTATATCAAGTTGAGAAAGCTGTTCAAAATATCACCGAATTCTGAATAAATCACTTAGCCAGAAGGAGATATAGGATATTATTACTTTAGTCTTCTTGAAAAATATTCTGAGCACCCTTTAATTTTCTCACTGCTAATTTTCTGCAATGGTTGGGAGTATGCATGATGTGAGCACACAGCTTTGACTGCATTACAAGTGGAACACTTCTATTCATTCTATTTATAAGGCTTACTTTATATTGGGATATTTATGAGGTACAATGATGTCACTGTTCTTTAGCCACACAATGTCAGGATTAGGGTTTCCCTGGGCTTTCACATTCATTTCCAGTTTATCTCCTTCCTTGACACTAGTATTCTTCAGTTTTTCTATGAACAGCGGTCTTATCAAATGTTCCTTAGCTATGATAGACAAAAAAAAGCAAAAAAAAATACACCAAGTTGTCAGAGGAATACAGTCAGGTACAAAATTATAACCAGAAACATCTACCCATCCCCTAAGTTAATAGACAAAATACCTTCCACTGTCAAGGTCATTGAAATGGATGCTTTTCCTGCTCTGTTTTGAGCAATTACAACCCATTCCCCTGAATCAGAAGGCATTGCTGGAACAATAATCATGGACTGTGTGCCATCTTCCTTAATCACAATTTTGTGGGTATAATCATTAAGAACTTGCTGACCTGTGGATACAAATACAGGTATTGTTTCAGACTGAGCATTAACTTCCTTTAAGTGAATCTTGAGTTTTACAGAAGATGACATGATAAGTAGAAAGCTTTCATACCGTTGTGAAACCAGTATGTCTCTGGCATTGGTCGACCCACAACTTTGAGGTCAAATCTTGCTGTCTGTCCCTCTGCACATTTAAATGAAGTTGGCTTCAGCACAAATACTGGCTTGTACAATCTTTCCAGCTGTCCTTCATCTGTCTCATCCAGCCTGCGTGCAGGAGAGCGTGAAGGTGAACTACGCGCAGGAGAACGGCTTGGGGATCGAGGAGAAAGAGATCTGAAAAGGTAATATGTTAACATGTACAGTTACCTGTATCAGGTCATAACAGAATAACAGAGTTGGAAGGGACCTTGGAGGTGTTCTAGTCCAACCCCATGCTCAGGCAGGAAACCCTATAACCATTTCAGACAAATGGCTGTCCAGTCTCTTCTTAAAAACCTCCAGTACTGGAACACTCACAACTTCTGGAGGCAGGTTGTTCCACTGATTAATTGTTCTAACTGTCAGGAAATTTCTCCTTAGTTCTAGATTGCTTCTCTCCTTGATTAGTTTCCATCCATTGCTTCTTGTCCTGCCTTCAGGTGCTTTGGAGAATAGTTTGACTCTCTATTCTTTATGACAACCCCTGAGATATTGGAACACTACTATCATGTCACCCCTAGTTCTTCTTTTCATTAAACTAGACATAACCAATTCCAGCAACTGTTCTTTATATGTTTTAGCCTCCAGTCCCCTAATCATCTTTGTTGCTCTTCTCTGCACTCTTTCTAGAGCAGTGGTTCTCAACCTTTTTAATGCTGCGACCCCCAACCGGTTGTAAGTCGAGGACTACTCAACCGGTCGTAAGTCAAGGACTACTCAACCGGTCGTAAGTCGAGGACTACTCAACCGGTCGTAAGTCGAGGACTACTCAACCGGTCGTAAGTCGAGGACTACTCAACTGGTGCAGCACCGTTTGCAGAATGGGCCTTTTGGCGGGCTCAGCAGGGCAGAGACAGCCTGGACAATTCCTATTGGCTTTTGAAAGCCAATAGAATTAGACTCTATTCAAGAGAGTCTATTCTATTGGCTTTCAAAAGCCAATAGATCGTTCGATCCCAAATGGGGTCCCGACCCACAGGTTGAGAACCACTGTTCTAGAGTCTCAACATCTTTTTTACATCGTGGCGACCAAAACTGGATGCAGTATTCTAAGTGTGGTCTTACCAAGGTGTTATAAAAGGTAATGTCTGATTATTCACTAGAGTAGGTTCTATTATTCTAAATATGGTACACAAAGTCTAATGCTGTGAGGTTAGGGCTTTTTACCACTCAGTAAATATTTATGTATCCAGTAAGGAGTCCCTATGCAGCATATGATATTGATATAATTAAAACATAGCTATCAATATCTCTGCAAATGCCTTGAATCATGCAAAAAAAATTGTGCTAACCTTTGCCTTTTTTTCTCTTTTTATCTAAATAAGTGCCATTCACTTGTCTAAATAAACAAAGATTAGGGAATAGATATTATATGTAGGCGGGATTAAGTGAATGGCTACTCAAGGAAAAATACATACAGAGAAGGGAAATACTGAAGGATATGAAAAGGATTTAGGATGGCTTTGGTTAGAGGCCCTTATTATCATGCTTCTAGAACCATCCTGTACCACACAAGAGAATATCTCAAATGTAATATAAAAGAAAAGAAAATATTGAAATGCAATTTCAGGAATTGCATATTTTTGTGCAAAACTTTATGAGACTATGAACACAGCCATTTTGAAGGAGGATATGTTGGTTGTTATGCTTGGATGAATTCCTTCCTCAATATATTGCAAATCAGGAATTTTTGATCAGCAAAAATTCAGTTTATGGTACATATAAATTTCACCCCATTCAGTTAACATCTGTAATTTCCAATAAAACATTTCCACCTCATAATAAAATAAAACAAGTACTTGGGAGGGGAAAAAAACAATGACTTGCAGGAAGGAGGCCTGCATGGATACAGTCAGAGTGAAGGTCTTCTTACTAGTGACATACATTTATGGTCCTCCCTCCCTATAGATATCTGGTTTGTTCAATCCCTACTTATTTTCAAAAATGAACAAAAATAAAGACACTGTTTCCATGATTATGAAACAAAACAACTACGGCTCTACAACATTTCAGCAACGAAACGTTTCTTCCATCCAAACATTCAAAACTGATTCACAGAAAAATAAATTTCGTACTCATTCACACGCTGTCTCTGTGCAACTGCAAGCAGTTGTCTCAGGCTATAATCTAAAAATGTATTGTCTGCCCCAAATAAAGGTAATCCTCAACTTACAACAGTTCATTTAGCGACTGTTCAAAGTTACAATGCCACTGAAAATAGTGACTTCTGACTGTTTACACAGTTACGACCTTTGCAGCATCCCCATGACCATATGATCAAACTTCAGATGCTTGGCAGCTGGTTCACGTTTATGACTGCTGCTGTGTCCCAACATCATGTGATTCCCTTTTGCGACCTTCTGGCAAGCAAAATCAATGGGGAAGCCAGATTCACTTAACAACCAGGTTACTAACTTATCACTGCACGGATTCACCTAACAACTGTGGTAAGAAAGGTCACAAAATGGGGCAAAACTCACTTAATGAATGTCTCACTTAACAACATAAATTTGGGGCTCAACTGGGTCGTAAATCGAGGACTACCTGTAGTCAAATCATAACTAAGACAAGACTGTCCCTTATTCTTACCGATATCTTCTCATCATTTCAGGCGATGGGATATAACCTGGAGACCCAGTAGGTCCAACAGGCTCAACGTATAATTTGGCTGAGCAAATGGCATTTCCTTTGACGTTGCTGGCAAAGGCCGTATAAATGCCTTCATCTTCAGGCAAGACAACAGGAAAGCGTAGACTGGCTCTGCCATCTGGCATGACCTCCATGTGGCAATGGTCTCCATGCCTGATACGCTTGCCATCCTTGTACCATGCAATCTGCGTTGAAGAAGGTACAAAACCATATGAGAGGTGAGAATTTGGAGAAGGGTTAGGTAAGGGTTCAAGGTTAGGGTTAAAAAAAATTTTTGGGAGAAGGACCTCCAGTTCCATAAATTGCAAATTGTTATTTGCTGTGACTGCTTTGCTAATATGCATTTTTCTATGCTTATTTGCATTATATAAAAATAATCATACACAAAGTAAACTCTCTGGATCTCTGAATATTAAAGCAGAAGTTCCAACTGCTCCAAATCTGAGAATCGTTCATTTCGCTATTATAAACAGTAATCAAAATAACGAGTTTGGAGACAGATTTCAGATATATAGCTTTAAGCTGCTTGGATTCATTTGTTTGAAGTGCTTGTAGTAAATGTAATGTGTCATTTTTAACCAATATCGAAATCAACAAGATGCAAAAGAGGCTACTACCATCCTTTAATGCAATTACAATAAGAAGGTGAGGCTAGGAAGAGTACAAATAACCTATTGCTTGCTCTTCTGAAAGACAAATGCATTCATACCTTAGGCAAAGGATAGCCACTCATCTTGCAATGGAAGGTCACGCCACTTCCTTCAAGGATTCTGTAATTTTTTAGTCTTAAATCAAATCCTGCTTCAATGGTTTCAGATTCAGGAATGTCAACTACCATCTCTTCTCCATCTTCTTCAAGAAGTTCTTCAAGTGTAATCTTAATAATACGGTACTCAATTTCTTTCATAAGTCTTTCTTCAAAGGAAGAAATATGGAACTCCTGTAAAAAAAAAAAGATGGGTTTATTCCAATATTAAGAAAAAACTTTTGAAGAAAAAAAAGAGGAAAGTAAAAGTGCACGGTCATGCCTAATTTTGAAAAGAAAAAAAAATACTTTGTGACATACATGGTTGTCTAGCATCCTGTCATGTTGATAAATTATTAATATTGTTCTTGATAGCTGACATCAGACCCTGGCTGTAGGACAGATAATATTTCCCCCCCCACCCCAAAAATAGCCTTCTCATAGGAAGAGGGAGCTACTGCTAAAATGACATGTAGGAGGAGACAAGTGGAGACTTAAAATAGAAAGATATGGGAGGGGGAGAGAAGGAGGACATGTAAAGACTGGCAAAGCAAAATGTATTTAGATCAATGGTTCTCAACCTGTGGGTTGGGACCCCATTTGGGGTCGAATGACCATTTCACGGGGGTCGCCAAACAAGGCTGTCTGCCATTTTTTTCTCCTTTTCTTTGGCCACGCCCCTGGCACATGGTGATGTATAAGTGGTTGGGGGTCATGACAACATGGGGAACTGTATTATGGGGTCACGGCATTAGAAAGGTTGAAAACCACTGATTTAGATAATGCTAGTTATAAAAGCTTGATTGTTTCCTGAGATGATAGGGCTAAAAAAATCTGAAATTAATTAGAATGTGATATGGAGAACAGCACTGAAGAAAAATAGGGTCCATCTTGGGGGAAAATTACATAGCGAAGATGGCCTCTGTGGGTGAATGAAGATGAAGATGAGATAGAAAGAACAGAATAACAGAGATGGAAGGGGCCTTGGAGGTCTTCTAGTCCAACCCCTCTGCTCAGATAGGAAGCCCTATACCATTCCAGACAAATGATTGTCCAATCTCTTCTTAAAAACCTCCAGAGCATCTATGACTTCTGGAGGCAGGTTGTTCCACTGATTAATTGTTCTAACTGATAAGAATGTCTCTCTGTGTGTCTGTGTGTGTAAGAGAGAGAGAGTGAGGAAGGGAGGGAGGGAGAGAGGGGAGGGAGAGAGAGAGGGAGAGGGGGAGGGAGAGAGAGTGCCAAGGCTAGTTTGAGAGAAAATGCCAACAAGTATGATTATTACTATTAATTAGTAGAAAATAGGAAGGGAATTAGACATAGATATAGAAACATTTGCAGAACTCTGTAGGTTGCATACATAAGCTGTAGGAAATGAGTAAAATTAAAATGCCTATCAAGCTTCAAGCCACGATAGAGGGAAGGGGGAATATAGAAAAAATAAATTTGGCTTCTTTATCAATAAATAAATGTTGCCATAATACAGTAATGGTGCATCAGAAACTGCAATTAAAACTTGGTTTGCTGTGATAATATCACAAGGTTTATATTATGTCATGAATCAAAACCTACGAACCCATGTAAACCTGTGACACACTTACTTGTTCCTCTGCAAATGTCCTGATTAATACAGTATCTTTTGCCATTTTCTTCCTAATCAGAGCTTGTTCTTTTTCATATTCTTTTTCATAGTCAGCATATAAAGTGGGTGGGGCAACTACAGCTACTTTGGGTTCTTGAACATAGGCAGTTACTTCAGTTTGATACATTGTTTCTTCTTGAGATTTTAGGTAGACCTCATAATCAGCTAAAGAAAAAAAATAAAAAGTAGTTAAAATATAATTTAAAATAACTCTAGCAAGAACATTTGTGTTATTCCTTAACCATTGATATAAGCAATAGTCCCAGTTTACAAGTCACAGCACTATATTTTAAACAGAACACTTTCTATTTGTAAACACCCATTGATAAACAAAATACTTATGTGTCTACAAGTTGGAGAGATTAATTCTACCCTCCTTTTATAGCCAAGTAGTAATTAGAGATTTTAATGAATATTTTAAATCACTGGTTCCAAGCAATTGATGGAGACTTATGTATGAACTATTAATCTCTTGGCTTGTAGCTAGCTTCTGGAAGTGCATGTTGGAAATAATAATTGACCAAGTATGATAGTGCTGTGCTCTTTTACTAAAAAGATAAGTAGTCATTAAATATGATCAACATCAAAGATTAAATCTAACTCTCTCTTTTTTTGGCTACGCAAATCCTATCCTTCATTAGCTGCATTCGCCTAGTAAGATAAGTGGCAAGTCTAAACTAGCATGAACATACTCACTGGCTCCTTCCTGTGAACAGAATAGCTATTGACCTCCCCACAACCTGGTTTGTATATAGTTAGATATGTTATCCAAACAAAATGCAGATATTACTTTCAGCTGCACAGAAAAGACAGCCTTGCCTTTCTATGGTTAATTTTGGCCAGAAGTATTCAGATGACACCTTTAATTATAAGCAAGTACTTTGGTAGCCATGTAAGTATGTAAATGCATGGTGATCTTCCAGTTCACATTTTTATCATTGGCATCCTTGTGGCTAACTGTGGATGTCTCTGGCTGTACAGACTATGGCTTTGCACATTCCACAATAGTTTATAAAATCTATTGTTTGTTTGCTTAAATGTTTTATATAGCCACCAGTCTAATGACAGTGGTTCTATTTATTATTCTTGAACCATATTTAGGATATCTATTGTTCTTTTCTCCTAAATTACTCCATTTGGTAAAACAGAATTTCATAATGTCAACTTTTCAATAAGGGCAGTGTTTACCAAATCAATTTTCCCTCATGATTCTTTAAAATCCATTTTCACCGGTTCTTACTTACCTTCTTCTAATAAGAAAGCTGATGCAGAAACTTCCCCATGTTTGTTACGAGCAACAATAGTATATTCTCCAGCATCATCGGCAAAAGTCATAGAAATTTCAAGTCTGCATTCCCCAGTTTCTTTTTTATGAATGATTTTGTATCTTTAGAAAAAAACAACAAACAAATAAGCCCTCTAAGAATGAAGAATTATGAAGTCAAAAATTTCAAATCTATCAACCCTAATAAGAACCAAATGCTTCAAGAGTTTGAAGCAATGCAGGCCTTAATGTGGCCTCAAGAGGAAGCTCCTCCTTCAAGAGACAGAACAATGGGGCAGAAATGATAGGAAGATATTGCCTCTGAATGATTCAGCCAGACTTGCCAAAGTTTTGCCCTTCACATGAGGCAGAGATTCTGTTTGACGTTCTTGTTTAGTCAGTCAGATGTCTCGGTCTCAACAGCATAGCTGAAATGCTTCACAAGATCAATTCCTGTTCACACATTACCTCCAAAAAGAATTTCTTTAAGAGGGAAGACCCCTCCAATGTAGACTATTGTTCCAAACACCATCTATTGTGATGTGACATGCAAATACGTAATTTTTCTCTTGGAAATAATATAGTCAGTGCACTTTGGGCCAGAGACATTAAAGTTACATCATTATGCAATCTGAGAAAAAAGTTTATCTTCCGGTTTCAAGTCCAATCTCCTTGAAAGCAAAAAATTAGGTATTATACCATTGGGGCAGCATTATACAGTAATTCATTTGTTTTATGCACACCATGTAGACATTGCATTTCACTATAAAATGCTTATTGTACCTGTAGCCTGTAGTGACAGGAAGCCCAGCTTTCTTCCAGTAAACATGCGGCTTTGGGTTGCCCCCAACCTGGCACTCAAAAATGATACTTCCACCTTCAATTAACCTCTGTACAACAGGTTTCATTATAAAGAATGGAGCTGCAGCTTCTCCAGGTACTTCTTCTGCTGCAGCAATTTCTGCCATTATTACATCTTTGGACTCTACATAGCTGGACATATTATAAAAAAGGTGAAAAATTAGGAATGGAAGTGAATGCTATCATTAGCTATCATTACAAAGCCAAATCTCCACAGTTGTTTTAATAATTACCGTCTTTCTTCAATGTCCTCTTTTACAGAAACAGCTTCTTTGGTCTCAAACTCCTCTGAGACTATTTCAAAACAAAAGAATAATAAAACTGGCATCAAGATACTTTCCAAAATGGATCACCAGCAGAAATATCCCACAAAATGCCACTGAGAATGGCCACAAATTAAAGGATTCAATTGTATAATCCAGATGTAGGGATTAACTTTGGAATTTTCTCCTTCTAGGAATAATTTTGAAAAAGATCAGTTTTCAAACTGACCAAGTATAAGAAATGTTTAATATAAATAATACAAATTAGATCAAATCATAACTCTGGATCCTGGGTTGCTACGTATTTATAATTAGAACATGCCACTTTCCTAATTTTGATTCAATAGGAAATTACATTTTGTATAAACTAAATCTCTTCTTTGTCTTGTGCAAAGCACATTGTGCAAATGCTTTTAATTATAATCTGAACAAGAGAAGCATTAATCCCTGAACCTGTAACGTATTTCCCCTCATCAGTTTAAGCTACATTTTTCACTCCATTGCAACTCTTGCAATCATCTTGTAAAGAGTTTCCATATCCTGCCATTTCATGTTCAGTTAGATAACTATTTTTGTATTGAGCTCTGTCAAAGTAATAGATGATGATTGATCCAAGTCACAACTTCTTTAAAATAGTTTAATGAAATCAGTTTTTTTAAAAAAATAAGCTGCTGCTTTTGAACGATTTGATGGTTTGTCTATGGATTAGATTTATAGGATGAACGAGTTTGTCCTTGCAACATGGTGCAATTGCTTTGTACAGTAATGAAAGAAATATCCTTTTAAGCATGACCCATTTGAGATATTGAGAAGGATGTAGATCACAGTTATTGGATGAGTTGCATATTTCAGCCAAGCAGAGGAGTATACATTTGACGAGAATAAAATATGAACAAAATGCCTATTTTTTTTCCTTTGGGCATAAATGCTGCCATTATCCCTAGAATGTCAGGGTGAAAAATAGTCTTTCTATCTGCCCAGTGATAAAATCATCCTGAGTTTCGTGGCTGAGGGAGATTTAAAGCCTCTGGTCCAAACTCTAAACTGCCACACCAAAATGCTTTCAGATTGATGGGTATGATAAAAATTATTACATGTGTGTAAAGATACAGAAAAGTAGACTCATGACTTCTTTATTCACAGTCTTTCATAATTCAGTGAACCCAATAACTAGAATGGGAAAAATTACCTGTTTGTTTCCACTCATTCACCACTTATGTAATATTCTTTGATATTATACTTATATAACAGTAACATTTAACAGACTACCCACCCACCCAAAAAGTCTGCCCTCCATTTTTCTCCATACTTGCCTTGTACAAGGAGGTAGCATGAAGTGCTAACACTTCCTGCCTCATTGGAAGCTGTGCAAGTAAATTTTCCACTGTCCTCTGCAAAAGCTTCTCGGATCACAAGGCGAGCAACTCCTGCCTCAAAGGTAATTTGGAAATCAATGGAACTTTCAATGTGGTAGTCTTCTCTGTACCAAGCAACAGTTGGAGCAGGATAGGCAGAGATGCGGCACTCCAGGGTGACGGATTCTCCCTCCAGAACAGTCACATTTTTCAGCATCTAGATAGCACAAGCAAGAAAGAACCTTGTGGCACCTTAAACAAGTTACTAGAAGTTTGGATTGGCTCCCTTCATTTTGTAGAGCTGGGTATGCATGCAAGAAGGGGCATCTTGGGGTAGGATCACAAGACTAACAATCCAACTATGGATATAGAGGAAATGAAATGCAGAAAGTAAGTGTGTGTGTATGTGTGTGTGTGTGTGTGCAAAAGAGAGGTGGGGAGAGAGGGAGAGAATAGAAATGCATGCATGCACAAAATATTCATATAATCTCTTTGCTTATAATAAGCATTTTAGAAACATAGAAAACTTTGAACCAATTTTGCACTGTACGCAAGAATTCCGCAGAAGTCATTTCACCTTTGAATGTCTGAATTGCAATGCAGGCAGTGATGTTATATGACAATGATAGCTAGATGTCTACCTAGTACCACAGCATATAGAAACTGAAGCCATGTCCAAACTCAAACAATGCTCCTCCTTGGTCTTTTAGATTTAAAAATGTCTTGGCGATCTTTTAGATCCTTACATACTCTTATCTTTTGCTGGTGGATTTCACTTCATTCTATGCTGTCTTACCTTGTTTCGTATTTTATATAGGTTTTATTATGGCTGAGTTTAAATTTCATTTTGTTCATTTTGTTCAAGACTCAAGAAGTACTACAAACAAAGATGGTCTGACAGAATTTTGGTCTGCTCTGGTATTGACCACCCCAAAGACATTCTTTTGTGAGTACTGCTGGAAATATTCATCTAAAGTTGATCTGATATTTTTTACAATGCAGCAAATCAATAATATATAGCATGAGTTTCTATATAAGATTTATTTATAGATCATGGCACTGCTCACTTAATTGTAGGCTGGTATCTTCCTTTGGTTTATTGTCATTATCTTCTAAGGAGTATTCTAAGTGTGTTCTTACTAAGGCTTTATAGTACCATTTTATAAAGCCTTAGTAAGACCACACTTAGAATACAGCATCCAGTTTTGGTCACCATATTATAAAAAAGATGTAGAGACTCTAGAAAGAGTGCAGAAAAGAGCAACAAAGATGATTAATGGGCCGGAGGCTAAAACATATCAAGAACGGTTGCAGGAATTGGGTTTGTCTAGTCTATTGAAAAGAAGGACTAGGGGTGACATGATAGCAGTGTTCCAATATTTGAGGGGCTGCAACAAAGAAGAGTGGATCAACCTAATTTCCAAAGCACCAGAAGGCAAGAGAAAATAATGGATGGAAACTAATCAAAGATAGAAGCAACTAGAACTAAGGAGAAAGTTCCTAATAGAACATTTAACCAGTGGAACAGCTTGCCTTCAAAGTTGTGGATGCTTTTAAGAAGAGACTGGACAGTCACTTGTCTGGAATGGCATGCTTGTATAAGGGATTGGACTAGAAGACCTCCAAGTCCTTTCCAACTCTGTTATTGTGATATTCTGTAGTTATTCTGTTATACTGCTATTCTGTCTTCTTTTAGCCAACATTAAAAGCACTTTGAAAATGGTAGATCCTCATACAGTTAATGTTGCAGATCTTCCTGCAGATATTGCAAGATCAGCTTAGTATATCAAATTCTCAAAATGTTCTGTACTCCGTTTTGCTAAATGAACGCTTACCTGAAGTTTAAAACTTAAGAGCCTCTGAATCTTATAACAACAACTACTGCTACAAAATATATTTTTTCTATTTTCTAAATAATGCAAAAATAGCTAATTTTGATCCTACTGATCACTTGCTTGAATTAGCCATCAGTATCATATGCACAGTCTCCACTATTCATTTCCACCCACAGACATACATGAATCTTTTGCCTCTGCTCTCTCAATTTAACTGAATGGGGAAATTCCTTCATGCAGTTTTATTTCAGGCTGCAAAGTATATAAAATTGATTTCAATATCTTTTGTACTTTCATTTTCTATACAGTAGATGGCAGTAGAACTGCACCATATTTCCATTAAAAAAAAGTTACAGTATTCCAACACAGCAAAAAATAAATTAATCTACCTATCAGCAGAACATTGATTACAGTACTTACTGAGACTATATATGGGGGTGTAGCGGGAACTTCTGTAGGTTTTGGAACTCTAGCAGCTTCGATCACCTAGGGAGATTTCACACAAAGTTAATTGGTGTCACACAACATTTTGTTCAGCAGCAGCATGCATGAGAACAGACACAAGTCAGTGCCCATCTTGTTTTGGTGTTTTCTATTGCTTGCTCTGAGGAAATGGTCTTCAGAGACAGAAAACGATGTCAACACAAATGGTATACAAAGGTCAGTAGGAAGAGAGGGAAACATTTAAAAAGGGGGGAAGGCTGGTAGAAAAAAAAAGGAAATATGTAAAGCAGAGGTCCCCAACCTTTTGGGCACCAGGGATCAGTTCTGTGGAGAGAGGTTTTTCCACGGACCGGAGAGGGTGTAGTTTTGTGAGCTGCCTGCATCCCGTGGATGGGGCTTTGCTTGTTTGTGCAGACCATTGTTCGGTAGTGATTCACGGACTGGGGGTTGGGGACCCTTGATGTAAAGGATGCATTTTTCTGCATGCGAAGATGGGAATGTGCTTAATGACTAACCTTGGGTTCAGCTTCTGGCATTAATTCAACATGTTTGCGTTCCTCCACCAGTCCACCTGTCACCGTCACACCTATTTCTCTTTTTATTTCAGCACCATAAAGCCTCTTATAGGTGTCAGCAGGTGTCTCTACAAAAGGGAACTGTGGAGAGGCGACTTTCTCTGGCATCAATCTGGGTTCAGGAGACTTTGCAACAGGACGCTTCACAGATTTGGTTATCTTAGGAACAGAAGTTGTTGCTAACTCTTTTTCCAGAGTAGCTATAGCAGAGCCTGCTATGGAAACCTAATCAACCCCAGACAAAAAAAGAGTTACCACTGCTAGTTCTACACAGACACACATACACATACATACATATGTACTAATATGTATATATAAATACATGTAAAATGTAAATGACATGGTAAAATACGGCTTCTTTCTTGCAGCTGTTTGGTTCTAACCTTTCAGAAACTGCATACCGTTTTTCTCTCATCAATTCGTTGTGTTTTTACAAGGAGCAATTAAGAAATATGACTCCCGTTTGCTTTTTTGAAATAAAAAATTCTATTTTAATCTTTCAATACAGTTTGCATTCAAATGTTTGATGGCATCATTCGTACTGTCAATCAAAATTCATAATTTGTTGCGAAGTCATAATTGGTCTCATAAAAGTCATATACCTCTATTTTTGTCCAGAAGATATAATGATAAATCTTGTCTGCAATATTTAAAACACTAGACTCCATTCATTGGAATACTATTAATTAACTAGTGTTTACATGTTGCATTAAGTATAGCAGACAGAATATACTTGTATTTTCATATACTTTGTCTTTCTTTGAGAAAGAAAAAAGGAATGACTACAGTATTTGGGATAATTTGAAGCCAAGCACCATAACATTAATTACATGTATTTGATTTAAAAAAAAAAAAACATCCTCTGTACAATGATAAAGTAACACAACTCTGTATTGGAAAAATGGATTAGATGGAATGGTTAGATGATGAGACCTGTAAAAGAGGCAATTAAAATGTCACATGGAAAAATGAGAGGGGTGAGAAAAAAAAGGTAAAGCAAAACCCATGTAGTCTTGATGCGTACACTATAATTGGGATTATAAATATACAATATGTTAATTCCTATACAGATTTAGTATTCAACATCACCAGCTGAAAGGTAGAACAAACACTCTCACTCTGTGAATTATTTGATTAATTTAGGAAGTAAGAATTTGCAAATAATTTTTTATCCTTTCCAGAGAGAAATGGAGTATGCCAGGCATTTTAGGTCCCTTCCTCTACCTTGTTCCTTGTTTTCCAGACACGATAGTTTGAAACATGCTTGATTGATAGAACCAGAGCATGTAATATCATACATTTTATTGATGTACCTATACATTTATAGTGGAAGGATAGCAAAAGCTCATTTTCCTTCTCTTACACTCCCTCAACTCTGCTGAGGAGGATTCATTTGGATGCTTTAAAAGAGATTTAGAGGGGTTGCTAGGAAAACTATTCTACCAACGGATGCCATTCTATTGGTGGACAGCACCATTAATTTCCTTCAATAATAAATAAAAGCCTGCCCCCCTGAATGTTTCAATTTTAGAAGTTTTCTCTTCCCTCTTTCGCTTAGCCTCATCTTATTCTGGATTATATAGAGAAAGTAACTGAGTTAACTATTTCAGTAGATATCTCTATTTGCCTGGCATACTCTTTCTTCTCTTCTTACCTCATAAGTATGATCTGGTTTAGGAACAGTAATTTTGGAAACTGTAAAATGAGGGCTTGCTGTACGGGGACGTATGTGTTCCACATGGATTGATTTTTCAAATGATGTTTCTGCAGTCCTTTTAATCTACATTAACCAATAAAAGGGGCATTGAGAAGTCTGTGCTACTTGCCAAATAGGAAAGAAAAGAAAAGAAAAGAAAAAGAAAAAAAGAAGCTTGGTAGCCATTGGACATGGCTGCAGGGTTAAAAACTGAGCCTAACCTGTGTTGATTTGTCCGTTTCCATTATTTCAGCAGCTGCAACATGTATTTTAGGAGGAATTCGAATCTCCTCAGTTTTCACCTCTTTGGTGACAACTTGTGGCTCTGGTGGTACCTCAACAACATGTCTTGCTAAAGCATGTTCTTTGTATCCATATTCCAGAGCTGCCTGTTCAGAATAAGCTTCTTCGGCATAATCTGGTTCTCTTGGTTCTTTAATGCGTGCTTGGTCAACTGCATAAACAACTGTGGCTACAGCTTCAGCTTTTTTGTCAACATCAATCTAAAGGCAACATTTGCAAAACATTGATACAGCGCTACATTAATGACAGAACAGCTAGCATAGAGCACATAACATTCAAAAATGTTACATTTCCAGCCTTCTATTAGCCAAATGTTTTTTTCTTATTTCATATGCACATACATTGCCAGTTATAATTATATACAGTATAACATTTACTATCTCCATGTGTTCTGGAGCTCTGTTCATTGAGGTTAATACTGTATATAATATTCCTTAGCAATGTTCAAATGTAAAGAAATGAATACTATATTGAATGCAGACAGTTAATGCTTACTTTCAATACAGAATGTACAAAACATTCAACCATGTTAGAAGGGAAGGAAAGGAAAGGAAAGGAAAGCATTTTCAGATAACCATATAATATATATAATAGCATGGTTGATGAAGACTTACAGACACACAAGCTTCTCAGAAGCACACAAATAATTTTGCAACACACATTTCAGAAAGACCTTTATCCATTTATAACAGACCTTCTACTTAACTTCAAATATGTCAAAATCATGTATTCAAATGTTTACTTTTTTATGGTATTAATTTATATTTCTGTCCTAAATACATCTACTCAAAAAATACACCTCATGGAATTAAAAGAGTGAATTTCAAGAAAGGCTGCAGATACAATCATATTCTGTTACCTGAAGTAAAACAAAGAAAAGAAGCACCATTTTCTCAATATTCTAATTACCCAATGTAGAAACTGTAATTAATTTCTGAGATGCATATTAATTGTTAGAGAAGAACTATGCCATATGGTACTACTATTTCTTTTGTTTTTTTATTGCTGCATATATTATTTTGTTTTTGGCATGTAAACAGCCTAGATTTTGACTTTAAAATGGGTGGCTATACAAATGTCTAAATAAATAAATATTGGCACTAGGCTGAGTCAAAAGTGTGCATAGTTTTGAATAATTCATATTAGTAAATGTCTTGTTTTGGTGAATGCTATTCACCTGTTCATGAACTAGCTGGATTTGTTCTCTTTTGACAGCAATGTCTTCTCTGGTTCTTGATATTATATCTTGTTTCTTGCGTTTATCAACCTCAATGATTTTTGGAACTATGGCAATTTTTTCAGTCTCCTGTCTTACCTAATTGTATTATAGCAAGAACATAAGTTTTAGGTTACATAATGCCTCAAAACAAACAATAGTGACAACAAAATTTCAGGAAAAAAAAGATATTCTCTGTGTATGGATAGAAAAATGTTAATAGATGAAATGCTTTACGTTCTCTCCCTGCAGAACATTCTAATTCCTGAAGCAGATAAATATTGACACTTGGTTATTAACTGACTGGGTAGTTACATGTTAAAAAAACTGCAAGTTTAGTATATGAAGTTTTAAAGCCCCAAACACCATGACAGGGAAGCTGTGAATATATTATGACACACCATATGAAAGAATTTCCCATTTCTCTTAATGAATGCAACCAGAAAAAGATATGAAGGAGTTAGTACACTTATTGAAGAATTATGAGCATATCAGTGTGAGAATCGGACATGAGAATGACCATCACATTAACAATGGTTCTATTCACCTTTTCTTGGATAAAGTGGGCTTGTGCTTCTTGTTTGGTAGCAATTCTCTCTGTAGTTTTTACTACTGGTGCAGGTACTTTGGGTTTGTCAGCTGTAATTACTACCTTAGGTACAGAAGATTTCACGGGCTTCACAACTTCTTTCCTTGTCTGATATTTTTGGTAAAAACAGAGGTGTGATTATATATGTGGTGTTGCAAAAATGTTCATTGGGACAGCAGCGAAAAGCAGACAGGAAGCAGTAAAGCGCATGAAATTACAAAGAGGCAAAAATAATAATGGAATTCTATTCAGATTCTAAAACTACTGATATGCGGTCTTTATATAGCTCCATCTTAATCTACATGGCTTTATTATATTTAATTGAGCTGACTGCAGAAGGAGCAAGCTGATAATTTATGAATGAAGTGGAAGTAAATCACAGGTTCTTTTCAATGGAAAAGCTAGCCTTCCCTTTCATTTTTGAAATGTAGCAAGAATACAAGAACAATCTTTTAGAAAACCAGGGTTTGTGGAGAATTTTGTTTGGGCCAGATTTTTAAATGAACAGATTTTGTTTGTACTTTCTGGATCAATATACAGATTGGAACATAGTTTAACTTCTGATTGAGTTTTACAAGGCATACATGTAAGGAAGTTTCATTAAAAATAATATATTATAGAATATTATCTATTAAACACCTACAGTGTGGGATAATTGACTTGGAATTTCAAAATGAAGTTGGCTGAAAGGAATTTATGTTTGAATTGATATGAGAATTACACTGATCTGAGACAGACTGATTTCTAGATCTACACAAGAATATGATTTCTTACAATTAGGTTTTGGTTTAAATCCATGTGGAACAAGTTATGGGAGAAAACAGTATTTTTTGTAACACAAACCAAATTCAGTTCCTAAACATTTTTTTTTTAAAGATTTGTAAAGCTAACATTATCATATATATATTATTAATTATGTCCCTTTAAAACATCTCCTCATTGACCCGATTGAAAGAAGATCCAGAGAGAGCAATGAATCTAGTAGGACATTTTAAAGATGAGCAAAAATAGTTACTGAATTTCAATGGCTAATTTGAATACTGAACAGTTTCTTTTTCCTATTTTTTTCAGACTGAAAACCACCAATAAGCTTTGAAAAATATGAACATCTTAATAAAGAAAGAGACATTCCATAAAATTTCTAGATGGAAGGAACTGGATTATTTCATATTTTTCTTTAAACTTTTTAACTTTGAATGATTCCTTTCAGGTGGCTATATAAGATTTTTGAATGAATCAATAAAATTTTAATTAGGATTAAATTGATGTTTTATTTTAACTTAATGAAAAGAACTTTTATACAAGGGAGCAAAGTTGCAATTGCAGGGAGTTCACAAGAAAACAAAGGAAAATAAAAAGAAATATGAAAATAAAATCTGCAGCTGAGCAGAGAGAACATAGTGAAAAATTGATAATATTCACCTTTTCATGAGCGATGTGCATTTCTTCCCTTCTGGTTGATATTTCTTCTCTGGCTCTTGAAATCTGTTCTTGTTGCTTAAGTAATTCAGGAGCAATTATTACCTTGGGCACAGGAACTTTAACTGCTTCTTTTCTTATCTAATCATGTGATAGAAAAGAAAGGATTTCAGTTATCAGATTCTCTTCCCGCCATCTCTAAAAAACTAATATTATTTTTTTCAATAACAGAGGTAATCTTAAACAGCACATAGCCATCCATAGTTCTGCAGACAACTAAGTATTACAATAAATAACTCTGCTAAACTCCATCCTGTATTCGGATCAACATTGAAAATAGCAATTCTAGAATTGGAATATTTGCCTTTATTTTATTTCATCTTGTTTCATTTCATTCATGCATTTATACTTCTGGATATTTTTTTAACAGTGTTCAACATGCCATATTAAATTGGCTTGCATTTCGAGCCATAATGGGTGGCCTTACTAAGCAAACAACATCACAAACCTCATGCTTTGTAGGTAAGTATTTGTATCACTATTGTCATGGAATGTAGTCTGGATTCCCTGGGGAGAAGGGGTGCTTTCCAAAGGAGCAAGAGACAATATGGTTCAGATAGTTTGTGTGAGAGAAAGAGGGTGAAGACAGCTTCTCCCTAATAGTTCCAGAGTATAAGCTTTATGGGGGTTGGGGGTTGGCTTTAGTTTGGCAAAATTCTTTTTATTGGTGAGGAACAATAACAAAATCTTCTTGGAGAAATCACAACATGTCTTTTTTGTTTTTTGGGACTTGATAGTAGTGGGGCTGTATATTTCACTTTAGACAGCTTCTATCTTAAATACATTAAAGGTGTGTCAGATATGTTGTCCAAAGTAAAATACCCTACACAAAATACAATTTGTACCAATTATTACTATTTGATAAAACTGATTGGAAATAAAACGAACAGCAATCTCATGTTTGATTAGCAAGAGTACCCTGAAAATATTGCTCCTGTGTCCTTATGTCACTTCAAACCTGCCCAATCAGTTTTTTATATCCCATACTACTGGCAACTGACATGCAATATTTTAAGGGGAAACTGAGCAAGCTGAATTTCAAAACCGTGGTGACATTTACTCCATGATTTTATTTTATTTGTTAGAAAAGACTGTGTCTCTTCAGAAGTGTCCCCAAATTCTTTCTCAGTAGCCCCGTCTTGACTCCTAACTTTGTTATTTAAGTAAGTGATGTTACAGCACTTACCACCAGAGAAATAAAAGTTGGGCTGCATTTTCTTGAACAATGGCAATAGCACTTAGACTTATATACCACTTCATAGTGCTTTACAGCACTCTCTAAGCAGTCTACAGCGTCAGTGTCTTGCCCCCAATACAATCAGATTTGTTTGAACAAAGCAAAACCCCAGGAGTTACTAAGGAAATGGTTTGTTGCTGCGTAGTTTGTGTACAATTTTTGGAATATCCCACAATTTCAAAAGCATTTTTCCATTCAAAAATCTGTTTAAGAAAACTAGGATGCTATTGTTTCCTTCACCAACCTCTATAATTTTGAGGTTCTAAGATCAAAACTTCTCTTCACCTAGTAGGCCAATGTAATTAGTCCTATTTAATTTAGATAAAGGATTTAGAGAGACTTCTGTGAATGTCAGAAGTGACAAATATACTGCATATTGGGGATAAGTGGAAAACATCAAGCTAGAGGAATATCAGATAACTCAAATTTTTTATTACAATAATAGACAAGTATAAAGTTAGAGACATAATTTCCAAAGAGGAATTCTTCAAAGCAGTAATAAGCAAATCAAAGCAGAAATGAATGTATATTTAATAGTGCTAATAAATTTTGTAATTAAGAAAGAGGAAGGTTTGTTTCACAAGACTGATATTTACCTTTTCATGAGTAATGTGAATTTCTTCCTTTCTTGTAGGAATTTCTTCTCTAGCTCTTGAAATCAGTTCTTGTTCTTTAATTGTGTCAGCAGCTATTATTACCCTGGGCACAGGAACTTTCACTGGTTCTTTTCTTATCTAATTTTATGATAGAGAATAGAGAGTATTAATGATTGAATCTAAACAAACAACGACAACATTTCTCAAAATATATTACACATGAGATGACCATAATTAGCACAAGGGGAAAGTCTAGCATAGGATTCAAATAAATAAATTTCAGCAGCATAAAGACCCAGTTTGGTCTAATGGTTAAGGCACCAGACTAGAAATGGGAGACCATGAGTTACAGTCCCTTCTTGGGCTTGAACACTAGCTGGGTGACTTTGGGCCAGTCATTCTCCCTCAGCCCAACCCATCTCATAGGATTGTTGTTGTGCAGAAAACAGGAGGAAGAAGGTGTGTTGGATATATGGAACAGAACAGAATAGAATATTCTAGAATAGAATAGAACATTCTAGAATAGAATGGTATAGAATAGAATAGAACATTCTAGAATAGAATGGTATAGAATAGAATAAAACATTCTAGAACAAAACAGAATAGAATAGAATTCTTTATTGGCCAAGTGTGACTGGACACACAAGGAATTTGTCTCTGGTGCATAAGCTCTCAGTGTACACACAAACAACAAAGTGATCGGTCATAGATCATAATTCATGGTTACAATCATTAATCATAAGACACAAACTAAAAGTGATAAATCATAAGACACCAATTGGAGAAGGTAATAGGAAAGATGAGAAGAATAATAGTAATACAGTCTCACTACATGGGCCTAAGACAGTTTGGTGCAAATTAAGTACTCAGCAGAGTGATGGCATGGGGGAAAAACTATCTTTGAGTCTAGTTTTTTGGCATGCAATGCCCTATAGCAGCGTCTTGAGGGGAGAATAAACAAACAAACAAGCAAACAAATAAATATCATGGTTATTCAGCCTGTTAAGTTTTCATAGCAAGTGTGGCGAGAAAGAGGGGAATTCCCTTCTGTTCATTGATAATAAAGTATACCATGGAAATGAAGCTTGCTAATGAAATCAATTGGCTTTTTCTATGAGTAAATGGGTCCTATTTACCTTTTCCTCAGTGATCTGTATTTGTTCTTGTTTTGTAGTAACTGCTTCTCTAGTTCTCGATATCATTTCTTGCTCTCTGGCTTTTTCAGCAGTAGTAGTAATTACTATGGCAGCTTCTTTTTTAACCTGATATTTTAATGGCAAAAAGAAAGAAATGAAAAACAAGCTATAACATTTAATTTCATCAATCATCATATATAAAAAACATGCAATATATAAAAGCAAATGAGGGGAAATACAACTGGGGATAAAAGTTAGTTTAAACTGAGCAAAGGGAAAAAATAAACGAAGTTTCAGAAAAAAAGTCATACTGATAAATGCATTAGATGAATTAAGATATTTTTCATCAAGTTTATTTAATTGGTTCAGGGCCTGTTTTAAAATTGTTAGCCAACTCCTAACATTAACATCGGTGGATTTGTTGAACCTGCAAGTTTATTGGTTTTACTGTATCTTTATGACATGCTTGTCTGCAGTATTGGCCAATGTATTGTTTATTTTCTGCAACTGCCTGCACTGGCAGCATTAATGGAAAACAAGGGGAAAGCGTTATTTATTGTCACTTTGCTTTATATCTACCTGCTCCTGGACAGGCGGAATGTGTACTGCGGCCATGGCTGTCCTTTTAGCCATCTGCTCTACAGCACTTGGATGAGGTTCTCTCTCTCTGGCCATGTCAACAGCTGCAACGACGGTAGCAACAGCTGTTGTTTTGTCAACGTCCTGAGAGACACAAATGAGTGCCATGAAAAGACAGCTCATTGGAATACAATATCAGCAACATGAGAAATAGGTGCAAACACAAGCAACTGTTTTGCCAGATTGTTCTGTGACAAAATTATAGCACAACACAGTCTAAATTAGGGGTTGGCATACTGCAGCCCAGGGGCCAAATACTAGCCCGGTAACTGTTTATTATATGGCTCCTGAGCTAAGAATAGGCAGGCGGGTGGCAAATTGCTAGGCCCGAGCCTCAGCAAGATCCTGGAACAAAGGTGTAGAGCAAGGAGGCAGGGTCATGGTATACTGGACAATGGTGGTAGCCTATTAGTAGCCTCCTTGCTGGTAGGCCAGTGCCATATAAAGGCTGCCATGTTTCTTGGCCTGCAGATCTGTCAGGCAGACTTTGTGGAGGCAGAGGAGGGGAAGAAACTAGCCATTTATAAAAATATGTTTGCCAAACCCTGGCCTAAATAACTGGGCATATAAAAAAAAAGTAACAGGGGGCCTAATTTCTCCTAAGCAGACCTATTCTGTGGCAAAACCATATTACTTTGAGGAAAATGTCCTGCCCCTTGCACAGTATTTTTCTTTGAAAAGGTCTCACCTCTGTAGCAGCAGCAGCAGCACCAATTGCAAGGGTAGCCTCTGCTGCAGCAGCTCCGCAAATTGCAACCTGTTCATGCACTCCGTATCTCCCTTCCCATCTTTCTTCAGTCCTCATCTGGGTGGTGCTCATAGTTACTCTGGTATCTTTCATTCTGGTTTCCGAAGTAGCTACGAAGCCTTCCTGTTTCCAAGGAGGAAGCACATCAGCTCCCATTGCTGCTGTGGCCTGTGTTTTCCGGACCAAGATTGGTGATCTCACAGGTCTGATAGGTGACGTAGAGACTGAAAGCCTTGTAACTCCAGCAGGAGACACCGATCTGTTAACAAAAGAGAACTTATTTTGATGCTAGGGGAAGAACAGCTCACCAAAGTGACTGTGGGAAGGTGGAAAATTAGGCCACCAGTAACCCTCCAGAATACCCAATTCCATCAAAACATCTTTTCAATGGATATTCAGTTACATAACTGTAGATCAGAGGTCCCCAAACCTTTGGGCACCAGGGACCGGATTTGTGGAGAAAGGTTTTTCTACAGACTGGAGAGTGTGTGATTTTGTGTGCTGCCTGCATCCCATAGAAGAGGCTTTGCCTGTTTGTGTGGTTGTTGGCATGCCGCGGGCCGGTACTGCTCCACAGACTGGAGGTTGGGGACCCCTGTTGGGGACTCACTACAGGAGTATATAATAGCAGTGTTGGCCAGAAATATTTTGCTGCACTGCTTAAAGATCAATGTTTGCCTTGGGAAAGGCACAGTGTGATTCTCCAGTTGTTCTTGAATTTTAACTCCCATCAGCTACAGCAACTATAATTAATAATAATGAGAAATTCTAGGAACTGCTGGGCTTTTTCCTGATTTGGGCCAAAGCAGGATTTTACATGTGAGTAGTTTACCTGACTGGAGATGGTGTTGGAGCTCTCACATGGCGTACAGGAGATGGTGACTGTCTGATTGGGGATGGTGATTGCTGGCGTGCCATCTGTACTTTGGCTGCAATGATTGGTGGAGTAGGCGATTTAGAAGCAGGGTGAGGAATCATCCGTGGGGGTGCCTTATGGGGCAGCTGCTGCCCAGTGGCACTTTCTATAGTCATCTCAGCAGTTGCAAGTGTTCTGGCATCAAAGTGGGCTTCAATCTTCTGCAATGAAAGATCAATGAAAATCTAGTTAAAGCCCCAGCCTTTGAAATGGTAACCAAATGGTTGGTAACACACTTTGACAAATTACCAACCTTTTCAGTTCGGGTTTCTCGTGTTTGTGTAATCTGAGCAGTCGAAACAATCGTCTTTGTCTTTTTAGCAGGAACAGCTTCATCTTCGCCTTAGAGAAAAGAGAATGGGATTTATTAGAATTGGTTCTGGGAGGGGAGGAGAGAAGTATATACAATCTGTGATTCCAGTTATTTATGTGCAGATATATCCACAAATTTCCCAGCATTTTTGCTCAACTTGAAAGAGATGTTACCCTTTTATAGAAAAACAGCATAAGGAAAATAAATAAATAAATAAATAACTGAATAAGTTAATTCTCTCAGGCACAGATTAATAAAGAGATGAATTCATATCAAATTAGGCCTTTTCATATCAGCCAACAATATAATGCAGAATAGCCAAGTCTAAAATAGTCTATTTAGAAAGAAACACCACTACATTTTATAGGAAAAATGCCTATATAAGGGAGCTTAAGCAAAATTCTGGGAAGGTATTCTCTTATAAATATAAATATAAAACCAATGGAACCAATGAAAGCCAGCACAAATAGCCATCATCTTTTGCTCCTTATTGTTCTTCATATATACAGAGTAAACATTTAAGAGGGTCCGATAAGTTTGTTAATAAAAATTGCCCATTTTTAAATCAGGTTTTCTGGATACAGACAGCTTTGTAAAGTCAAATATTCCTATAAATTGTTTTTGGGATTTTAGCTAACTAACCACATGATTTTAGCCTTGGGAGCAGGTAGGGATATTGGGCACTGATGCACTTGTGTATTTGTTTTCTAGTTCAGTCCTTCCCAAATGACAGCTAAATGCATGGTTAGGGCCTAAATGATGTCTAGGAAAACACGAGGACCAAAATATTTGGCATCCTTGAACGTATTAAGCTAATGCTTGTTGAAAAAACCATCATAATAAAGTTCTCCCATAATGTCAACCCACAAAACATGATTTATTAATCCCATTAGCTGAATTCACATTTTGTCTCAGAAGTTACTTTGCCTTAAATAAATAAAGCCTTATTACTTAGTATGATATATAAATCTAACCTATATAATTTATCATGAGTTTTTCTTTTCTTTTACTGTGTGCATGTGGGATGAAGCTATTAAATGCAGTACTGTGAGGCCTGAATTTTTGCTCCTTCACGGGCCTGCAACTCCACTTGGTTTACATTTCAGTACATGTTTAAGCAACTTACTGTGAAACTATGACACCCAGAAAGAAAAACCCTGGAGTGAAAAACTGAGCTGTTGATTTACTGGATTTTAGATTAATACAATGTAAAACAATTACAAATATAGACACTGTGCCTCATGCTAGCAATAAGTTAGCCTACTTGTTTTTCTTGTATTAACAGGGAAAGAAAAGAAGTAGAACATTTGTTGCTGTTGCTTTCTGAAAACAATTACGCTGAAGTATTTTTGATCAGCTTGTGTCCAGGGTGAAATTTTACAACCACATTAAAACCACTTGAGAGAAATGGAATTGATTGATTTGTTGACAGAAGAGCAATCATTGTGAAATTTGCTGCCCTGATGGTATAATCCTAAAGATTTTTTGGGGGGGAAACATTCTTGTTTGATTGTCCTAGTCTTTACCTTGAATGAGCAGTTCGGCTGTTGAAGTAGCTCGTCCCACGCTATTAGTGGCATTTACTGAATAGGTTCCAGAGTCTTCAGGGTAAGCTTCTGCAATTATTAAACTGTAGAGGTCTCCTTCATGTAAAATTTGAAAATCGGGGGAGCTTTGAATTTCTGCTCCATCCCGATAGAACTTCACCACAGGTGTAGGGATTCCAGTCACTCTCACGTCAAGTCGAACTTGACTTCCTTGTCGAGTAGTCATGCTCTGTAGTCGTTGTGAAAAGTTGGGTGGTGCTGTTTCAGCTGGGAGGAAGAGGAGGAGGAGACAAATGTATCAGCAAGAACAAACATAAGGAACATCATGAATCTCTATACTACTAAAATCTTTTTGTCTGTAACCTTTGACTTGGTGAAATAGTGCACCTTAGGGCAAAACCTTTTGAACCGAGATACCTTAAATAGGCTGACTTACAAAATGTAAGTGGACATCATTCGAAAAGAATGTTTTATGTTATAAAAATCATTTTGAGACGTGATACAAAACATCTTAAACATGTCTTATGGTCAGTTCCTGACATTCAACTCTGCTATACAGTTAAACATGGGCTTCTTTCAAGGCAGATACATTTCTGATATCTCCCTAATTTTTTTAGAACTTTTCAAGTATATTAGAAACTCTGCTTCTGTTGAAGGTAAGAAATCCAGTAAGGAAATATCTCTGAAATAATGAACCAAGAGTTGCAAACTGTGCCTCTGAAAATGGACAAAGGATTTCAATTTCCCATAACTCTTTGGAGCCATAAGTTGCCCATAATTCTGAAATGATGGGGCAGAAGCAAGGCTTTTTATGATCAAGTTGTAAAGACCCTTTCCTTTAAATAGCAACATAAAAATCAATATAAAGCAGAATGTGGACATATAGGTTTGATTGTTCTTAGAAGTACCTATAAGTCAGTCTTCATATTTACTATTTATGTTATAATACAACACAACCTACCAGTGACAAGTAGTTCTGCAGTACTTGTGGCTTGTCCAGATCCATTGGTGGCTTGTAGGGTATATCTTCCACTGATATCTGCGGTCACGGCGGGGATCACAAGTTTAGCGCGGCCATCGCTAAATGAGATCTGCACACCGGGCTGAGTTGCAGCAGAAATAACCTGGCCATCCCGATACCAGCTCACCTCAGGAACTGGGAAACCTTGAGAAGGAGAGTGAAGTACAGGTAAATGCTTAAAAGATCCCATTGGCATCAGTCCTAAAATACCACAGTTCTTCCTAGTGTATATGCTAGTTGCTAAAGGGCTGGATCAAGGGTTTCAGTAATTGAGATAGAATGAGAAATGGCTGGTCATGGGGAAAAAGTCTATGCTTACTGCAACCCAATCCCCCAAAATAGGATAAGGCTCAATTTATTTTATATTTGGTTGGTTATATTATCATTATTCTGTTGTTTTGCATATACACTGAGAGCTTATGCACTGGAGACAAATTCCTTGGTCAAATAAAGTTCTATTCTATTCTATTCTATTCTATTCTATTCTATTCTATTCTATTCTATTCTATTCTATTCTATTCTATTCTATTCTATTCTTCTGAAATATTCAGATCTGCTTTCTTTAGGATATAGTTTGCTGCTCCTTCCTCTAAATATCTGATACAAAGATGTATTTATATTCTTAAAGGATATTATCAAAGAAAGACTATATTTTAAATGCCTGATGCTTGAGAAGGAAAGACATGTAGGTGCAATGATAAAAAATACACTTTTTGTGATTTAGGAAGTCAAATTTCAAGAAATAAAAATGTTCATAGAGTTTTGGTGCATTACAATAACCAAGCACTGAATCATTGTCAGACCTGTCCAATATAATGAGTAACTTGGGGGGAAAAGAGATTTATAACATCTTGTAATATGAGTTAGTGTTGCCATAAGATTGCAGTGATTGAAAGGTTGGATTGAAAAGCAAAACAAAAGAGACTCAGTACTATTTCACACATCATGCTAAACTGTACTTTTGTTTGCTTTTGGTAATGATGTATGGGCCTAATTATTATGTCTTAGAATTATGTACAAATGCAATCATAATTTCAGAAATGGAAGTTCTCACTATAATGTAAGGCAAACATTACTTTAGTTGTCTATTAAGTTTACTGTCCTATGAAGCCCAGGGAATGTGGTAGAGGGAGTTTACTCTGAAAGATGCAAGGAGGAGTATGGAGTATGGTTGGAGGCAAAATCTCAACGGTAGCAATAGGGTATTTCTAAGTGTTTAAGTCCATATATCTTAAAGATGTCAAGGTTGAGAAACATTCTGGTCTTCAGGCTCTTTAAGATGGGGCCATGAACCAAATAAAGAAGGAAACAACTTAAAATCTTTCCTGTCAGATTGCAATCTCATAATCAGTTCCATACTTCTATATTCAATGATTTCCCTTGCTAATGTTATCTTCTCTCAGAATGGGAATAAAGAGTTGTCAAGAAACAGCAATCAGTGGAGAGAGACACTACTTGGAAACCATGATTACTATGAGAATGTGAGGGCATTGATACGTATCTGATGCAAAGTTCTGCAGAATTTATCAATGTTTCAGAAAAAAAGGAATAAATAGAACAAAATATTATGTTTAGAGGATTTATAGAAAGGATAGAGGGCTGCCTTTTATTTGTTTAATAATAGAAACAGATTATATTTTTCCTATGAAATCTTCTGTGTAGGGGTGTGTTAGTATTAATTTATATAATTAATTAATTAAATTAATATTAATTTAAATCCTTTGTCTATTAGGTAAATACTGTCATTTTCTAGCAGTACACAATTATAAAATGTACACAAACAATAGTATGACTAATTTCAGTGGCAGGTTCCAGCACATTTTAGGGTCTATAATATCATATATTTGTATGTTTAAAAAATTGCTTTTCAATAATCTAATCCCAAAATTCTGTATCAACATGAAAAGAAAATTTACATAAAAAATACAGTTGGAGCATATAACATAAAGATATTTTAAGTCACACCATTTCAATCAATTAAAACTTTCAGACATCTGCTTTAATAACCTCAAATATTCACGATCATAACAGATACGGGGGTCCTTACAAATGTTTTAAATACAAAACTACTCAAATAATATAGAAAAGCATAAGGATCTGGTTTAAACATCAGCGGTGCATACATGAAGAGTGTCTATGTACGTGTGTGTGTATGTATGTGTGTGTGTGTATGTGTGAGTGCACAAACACATTCACACACACATATGCACGCATGCATACACAACTCATGCACTTTCTCTATTTAATAGTTGTTGATCCTTCAGCTGATCTGAATTATAATTATGGACATCATTCAGTTGGGAGAAAAGTATCTGGTCAAAAAGGTGACTTAGAAGTATGCAAAATTGCAGAAAGACTTCGCATCTTGAAGTACATACAAGTCCTGTCTTAAGAATTTGAGAAGCCTAGACACATGTCTATTTCTCCCCTATTAAATAGCCATTTTCCTACTTAATTCCCACAACACCCTATATTTTCTTTTCCTGACAGAGAAATCAAAGAAGAAACATCAAAAGTTGGGAAGTAAATCCCAAACACTGAAATAACTTTTGGAATTTTAAGTGATCATCATATTTTTGATAATGAATATGAAAGCTTTGATTGGCAAATATTGATTCAAATTATCATTTCAAATTCTGAACTAATCTTTGGATAAAACCTGGGCAATTGATTCTTTTTTAAAAATGTATCTTTTGAAGTTAGTGGTAGACTAAATTGCTCCTGCAACTGTAGCAAGTGGAGCATGGCTAACGAGTATTATTCTTTCTCTGATATCTTATAATTTCCAGCTCAGAATAAATAATTGAAGTTAATATGATTCAGAGGAAGAAGCCAAACAGCTGGGATTTCAAGAGACCTAGAGACCTTTTTAGAGGAAGTGAGCCCTGCCTTGATTGTTCAAACCTATTACTTAAATTCTGCTCATTGTTTACTATAACATTACAGCAGCCTGATTAATATGCATATTGTTTTTTCCTGCTTGGTGAAAATAGATATATTGTCAGCATATAATCCAAACATGCATATGATATAATGTTGGTGTGTGTTCTGAATCAGGCAATACAGTATTTTCATACTTTATTCAAATCCTATAATATGATTCTTAATTTAGAAATATGTGGGCTGCTATAAAGCACAGCATGATCTCATTGGCCTGGAAATAATTGCTCCACATCTAAAATACTGATGCTACCAAAGGCATCACAATCAGAGCTATTTTTTAATTGATGCATATTGGTGCAATATGAAAGAGGTAGGACTTTTATGCCACAACTATTATAGCTTATTGCTGCTATTCTGACATAAGCTGGAAAACATTACAGACAGCATATAGATTTAAGGCCTGATCCATTTCAAAACTTAACGCTAGCTTAAAATATAAGAGATTCATGAAATGAACTCCTAATGGAACATGATCAACATTATTGCTGTGATCCATAAGCTCATCTTGATATATAAGAACACCCAGTGTTTCCACTTGGCATCCATCAGAGTTGCCATATTGGGCTATAAAGTTTTAGAGGACCACTAGCTGGGAAAAGAATCTGTATTTCCATGCTTCCACCTATTGGCCATTTGGATTTTGTGGTCTGGATATGCTAATTTTAGTCTTAGAAAATAAAACCTGTGACTGTAGCCCAATGATTTATTTTCAAAATACAAAGGGGGGGGGAATTGAGGCAAATGTTAAGTGGGGAGTAGGGAATAACTGCAACAATCTGACTTCTCGTAAATTGATGTTTTGAGCATGACCATGCCCAAAGTGGGGCCATTTTGTAGTCATTTTCTTTTGAGTGTCCATAATATGCTGTCAAAGTGAAAAATGCATCTATTGACTCCAGACTCCCTGACCTAGCCTGATGTGCTGGTGATTTTCCAGTCTTCAACTTGATACAGAAGAGATAATTGATCTCTTCTCCTCATGAGACCTATTACCTGTCTAATATACAACTGATGAAGCTTCCAGGATAGGAAGTGAAATGTCTTGTTTTTCCTCAAAAAATCAGCCCAGTTGCCTTTTCAAAATAAAAACAACTTTTGATACAACTATGACCTGGATAAATGAGAGAAAAGCTGCCCTCTTAACCATTTTGGGAGACATCAGCCACAAGAAAGAAAACAATAACCAAAAAAACACATGGACGCTCACCACTAATATGAGCCTCAAAGGTTGCGGCACTACCCTCCAGTGCCACAACACTTTGTAACGGCTGCGTAAATGTTGGCGCTTTGCTTGTCATTTTTACAGGCACTCTGGAAAAAAGATAGACATAAAAATAGAAGGTGAGAAAACAATTTGTGGAAAACAACAGGCATAAAAAGCAACATAAATATGAGGTCTTATAGAAGGATTGTTCTACTTAGATTAGATCTGCGGCTCTTGAATGGTTTACTTTTGTTAATGTGGCATTTATTGAAATTTATATCATTAAATTATTTTTCTTTATTGCCCATCTACTGATTAATACAATCATAACAAATTGTCAACAATTCAAACATACATCGAACAGAATAGCTGTGCCAATAAAGAGCTTACTTTTTAATGTTGAATTTGCCATACTTTTATATATAACCATTTCTTAATCCCTTCTTAATGGGAATTGAACAAAAAAAATCTTTATAACCCAAAATTGTTTGAAAATTTAATTTATTTTACTTTCCTATTAAATAAAAACACAGAAAAATGATATATTTTTTTGCTAAAAGAAATTATTTGAAAAGTTTCTCTTAATGTGAAAAATGGTTTTGGTAAAAGGCCATTACAGAGAAGAGAAGAGAAAAGAAGAGAAGAGAAGAGAAAATAAAAAAGAAAAGAAAAGAAAAAGAGAATGCAAAAATATAAGCAGGGCAGTTGAATTTAGGATAGAAGGAGAGAAGGCCAAGTTTGAAATGTGAGCTTGGCTATAAGATAACAACTGACATTGATGGTTTGAACAACTGCAGGAAGGTACAAAATCTGTAAAACTATATTTTGTCCAGTATAATATTTGTTGCTCTAACACTCTGTCCCCACTCTCTTGTAAACCACAAAAAGATATATATCTAAACAAGAATAACTGATTTTATTGCAAAATATTTCTTAATATGGATGCCCAACAGTGTCAAATCAATTTATTCTGTTATATTAACTGAGTACTAAGTGTTAACTTGATATTTATTATGATTTATCATACAGGATTGGACAGAGTCACGGGGGAGGGGGGTTACAACAGCCAAAAATAGAATTCCAGTAATGTCAGTGATTTATGTGAGGCCTATTTTTCTTGGCCATTTAAAAAAAAAATTGCTATAGTTTTAAGTTTGGAACAATCATAGAATAAGATGAATATGTAGATAGATGGAGAGAGAGAATAGAACAGAACATGTCAATATATTGCCTTATTAAACATAATATACTCAATTTAGTCATTCCTCTTTTTAAAGTTACTGGCTCCAAATTTTGTACTGAAATGTTCTACACAAATGTATTTCAGTTACGTTAGGCCAGTCTCTATATATTATCTATTTTCCCAAATTAATTGTAGCCATATATTCCAGTTAAAAAACAACAACCATACATCATCCCTTCTAAGCTGTTGGATGAGTTCACTATTGTGTATATTTCAGTCTTCTTTTTTTTTCCAACTTCCACAAAAGATGAGGAAAATCTCCTATTATTCAGTTGTGATCTTATATGGCTTTTGTATCACTAGCATTTCAAAGGTATGTCTCTGAAATGTCACATTCCCAAAATAACCATTCCAGGTTTGAGTGACAGGAGGCAAGTGGTCCAGAGCTGCGATGTAATGGATATGGCAGCAGCTGATTCCCTTAAAAAGTCATCAGTGCCTAGCCTTGGCTACGTGGCTTTATCAGAGCTATTCTGGGAACGTCTTGGTTTCTCTGTAAGTAATATAACCTTCAACACTCTTTTGGAAGGATTAAACGTTAACCCAACCTTTGAAATAACTTTTCACCCACAAGCACATTTTAAGAAATGATCACTACCAACTGCAAAGACCTAAGAGTTCATAAACACCAGGCATTCATGGGAAAAGTGCATTCCCCAAAAATAAATCTACAAAGAGCTACAGACTTTTCTCCCTCTTCCCCCCCATCCCATTCCAGCCTGCCTGACCCCACACCAATGCATCTCCTCAAATGCATCCCCTGCAAGCAGGGCTGTATTTAAAATAATTAAAGAAAGCGCCCCAGAGCTTACTTGACAGAGAGAACTCACTCAATTCTTACAGGCATGCTACTAACCTGATTTCACAGGAGTGCCTAAGTGGAGCGGGCTAAGCCCAAACGGATGTTTCTGGAGCGACGTCCTTATCCAGAGGATGATGTTAAACAATCCCAACATGAGAATGGTTGAGCCTCTAGCTCTCAAAAACAAAACTACACAGTCGAAACAGTGTAGTTTTGTTTTCTTTGCAATCCCTACACCCGAGGCGAGGCTGGGAATGCACGACTGCTCAGAAGGGCAAACATGGTGGTTTGGCTTTTTATACTCCAGATCTGCTGACAGGTCTGCCTGTGTCACTTCAACATCACTTCTCATTGGCTTTTCGAAAGGAAGGCCTTGGGAGAAGAGGGGGAAGGGTTCACTTGGAGCAATAAGACCACCTGTTTGTCTGATTGACACATCTAATTTTGGCTATGCTGAAGACAGAGCAACGGGCCTATTCAGAAACTCTAGTTGGGAAGGGAGGCAATCATTGTACCAGATGCTCATAAGCAATTCAGGTCTTTAGTATAATCCTTCAAAAGAATAAAAGAATAGGGAAATGGAGATAGAAATATCAACACTTAAACAAGAAAAAACCATCCGTAATCACCATACAATCAACCCTGTTACTGCCACTCAACCAGTCACATGGTGAGGAAAAAATTGCTATCAAATGCCATTGCCCAATACCCTTGTTCATGCCATCTGGCCTTTGTTATTGTGGTAGGATATACAGTTTCCTCCAAGCGAGGTCCTTGTGCTTGTTTAACACCCAACATATCGCTGGAATGACTTGACTATAGTCTAAATTGGAACAGATGATTTTGTTGAATAATCTGAAGTGACACCAATAACCCCAAGCCTACATATATTAACAAATATATTAGCTTAGCCTAAACATATTAACTCATAACAGTACTGGCTGAGGAAGGGGAGCAGGCTATAAGCAGTTCCCTGCTTCAAATAGTATCAAAGTAAAGGCAAAGATATGAATCTGAAACTAGCAGAGGACCATGGAAGACCTATTCAGTTCATTCTTCTTATTGCTGAATAAAACCCTCCAGCCTTGCATCAAAAGCGGTAGAAAGGGGACAATGCCCCCCTGGATCCAGAGCAGTTGGTACTCACTCATACAACATGTCGAGCAAAGATATTTCCATGGTTTCATAAGGCCACTGCATCTAGAAATCTTATATTCTTAGTTCTTACATTTAGTTTAAACACCTTCACTTTGATTTGGTAGCCCAGTTATCCAATATTGACATAAAATGTTTAAACAATGAGCTGAATAAGTCAAAAGAGGAACCCATAATGGGATTGTTTCCTTAAAGGAAGGCCCAAAGCTAATAACTGTTGCTCCAAAAGGCAGGTATTCTGACAGCAAACCTCTTTCTCAAGTTTCTAAGTGCATGCAGGAAGGCAGACGGCCAGACTGTTTTCCATACTTCTACTGTTTGCAAGTTTACATAAAGTTTGCCTGTCTGTGTGTGTGTGTGTGTGTGTGTGTGTGTGTGTGTGTAGATATGCACATATACCTTTGCTATAATATAAACAGAATTCTTACTACCGGTCAGTCTTTGAAGTACAACTCCAACTGAACCCCAAATTTTGGTTGCTAAGTGAGACATTTGTTAAGTGAATTTTGCCCCATTTTATGATCCTTCTTGCCACAGTTGTTAAGTGAATCATTGCAGTTGTTAAATTAGTAACACGGTTGTTAAGTGAATCTGGTTTTCCCATTGACTTCAGTGGTCTGAAAGTTGCAAGAAGTGATCCCATGACCCTAGGACACTGCAACGGTCATAAATGTGAGTCAGTTCCCAATCCATCCTAATTTTGATCACTTGACCATGGGGATGCTGCAATGGTTGTAAGTGTGAAAACAGGTCATAAGTCACTTTTTTCAGTGCTGTTGTAGTATCGAACGGTAACTAAATGAACTGTTCTAAGTCAAGGATTACCTGTATTATTTAAACACAATATATGTACCAATAATAATAATAATAGGCGCCTTGGGTGCAATCCCAAAACAACTGGAGCACCACTTGAACACCATTGGCATTGACAAATTTGCCATTAATCAATTGCAAAAGGCAGTCTTAATAGGAACTGCTTCCATCTTGCGACGATACCTGTAATACCATCAAACATCCACATCTGCCTATCCCAGGTTCTTGGTAAGGACTCGATAGATAGACAAAATGCCAAATCCAGTCTGAACATCTGGCTGACTGTGCGATGATCAATAATAATAATAATAATAATAATAATGTACTCTGAGGAAGATGAGAGCTATGCCAGAGGTTCAACCATACTGGACAGGTCTCATCAGAGGAGTCAGACAAAGAGTGTCTCTCCCATAAAAAATATGGTGAGACGTAAATTTCAGAATGCCATACCGGCTCGGACGTCGCCCGGGTTAACAAGGTCCGCACTAGATATTGGAGTTCCTGGATATCTGGTGAAAAATGGGTTACAGGACTCAGGACTGTTGGCTGAGCAACCAGGGCCAGCAGCTGCAGAACTACTGGAAGAAAAGGTGTTTACCCGTCGCAGATACACAGTGATGGAAAACAAAGAAATAATGATCTGTTACTACAGATCAAGTCCAACAAGAAGAGGATATCTAAAACGAATGCACCAGTTCTGGAAAGAACAACATCCAGAATCAGAAATAACAGAACAGAGACTAGCAGATCAACGCCGATTTATAACACGAAATAAAATATTCACAGAAACAGAATTGGACGAACTGCAAAGGTTTACCCAGGGCAAAGAAATCAAAGCCTTACCAGAAGTAATTCAGAATGTAGAGGCAAACCAGGGGGAGTTGGCAGTGAAGGAATCTAGCAGAGATATACAACTGTTCTCATTTGGAAACCAGGCACCTCTACCTCAGGAAGAACAAAACCCTCTAACTAAAGAAATAAAAGAATTGAAACAAAGAATAACTGAGCATCTAGAACAGCACAAAAACAATAGAATAAGGCTACCTGCATTGAAGCTTGTTCCAAAGAAACAGCTAGCACAAGCATTAAAAGATGCAAATATTGCAATATCAAGTATAAGCACCAATTCATTGCAAGAAACAAACCAACTAATGTACAGCACAGCTGCAGTTATAACAGAATACCTGGGATGCAAAATCAACAAAGAAGAAAAACAAACAAACAGTGCACCAGAAAAATGGAAGGTTAGACTAGAAAATAAGATCAGCAAGTTAAGATCACATGCAAGCAAGCTAGAACAGATGAAAGAAAAGAAGCTGAAGAACAAGAAGACCAAAGAATACCTAATCAAGAAATACCACTTAGAAACAAGGAAGATCAAGGAAGCACTGGAAATAATAAAGCAACAAATAACAGCTATAGCCAGGAAAATCAGTAGATATGAAGCTCGAATTGCAAACTATAGGCAGAACCTCCAATTTCAATCCAATCAGAAACGTTTCTACCAATCCATCAATGGAGAAACTGCAAGGAATCAGTCAGTACCTGACAAGGAAGAAACAGTGCAGTTCTGGAAGCAGATATGGGATAACCCAAAGAAATACAACAAGGATGCGGCTTGGTTAAAAGAGGTGGATGCAAATAAAACAGAAGTTGAAATGAAAGAACTAGTAATAACAACAAAAATGGTAGAAAAAAGAGCAAAGAAAATCAAAAATTGGTCAGCACCAGGTGAAGATGAACTGCATGGGTTTTGGTTGAAACATCTAACTGTTATACACCCACTCATTGCCAAGCAGTTCAACAATATACTACAAGGAGGAGAAATTGAAAAGTGGCTAACAACTGGGAAAACCTACCTAATAATGAAAAATCCAGCAAAAGGGGCAACACCAGGTAACTACAGGCCAATTACCTGCTTACCAACAACTTTCAAATTACTAACTGGTGTAGTAGCTGATGCAGTGCAACAGCATCTAGTTGAAAACAATCTCTTTCCACCTGAGCAGAAAGGAAACCGCCCCAATAGCAGAGGAACAAAAGATCAACTCCTAATAGACAAAATGATCTTGGAAAACTGCAAGAGAAGGAAGACCAACCTGAATGTGGCATGGATTGACTACAAAAAGGCATTTGACTCTCTGCCACATGATTGGATAATAAAGTGCCTAGAAATAACAGGAGTCAGTAGAAACATCAGAAAATTTGTGCAAAGATCGATGGCACAATGGAAGACACAGTTGCAGATCAATGGTGAGAGGCTGGGAGAGGTTAATATCAAGAGAGGAATATTTCAAGGAGATTCATTATCACCATTACTATTTGTTATTGCACTGTTTCCTCTGTCAACAATACTGAATAACTCAGGACATGGCTATCAAACATCAAAAACATCTGCCAGACTATCCCACCTCCTTTATATGGATGATCTGAAGCTGTATGGAAAAACATCATCTGAAATAGAATCGCTGCTCAACACTGTCCGTATATATAGCCAAGATATTGTAATGGAGTTTGGCTTGGACAAATGTGCCACACTTACTATCAAACAAGGAAAAATAGTGAAAACTGAAGGAATCAAGATGCCCCACGAAAATAACATTAAGAGTCTGGATGAGGAAGAATACTACAAATACTTGGGTATCCTTCAAGCTGACAACATCAAGCACACTGAAGTCAAGAAAAAGATTAGAGGTGAATACATCAAGAGAGTGAAGAAGATCTTAAAATCCAAACTCAATGGAGGAAATACCATAAAGGCAATCAACACCTGGGCAATCCCAGTCATTAGGTACACAGCTGGAATAGTGGACTGGACTCAAGCAGAACTAAAAGCAATGGATAGGCAGACCAGAAAAATAATGACAATGAATCATGCCCTTCATCCACGCAGTGACATTGATAGACTTTATCTACCAAGGCAAATAGGTGGGCGTGGAATGCTACAAGTACATCAGATGGTTGAAGAAGAAAAAATGGCTTTGGAAGAATATCTGAAGAACAATGATGAAGATGCACTGAAATTAGTATATCAGGAAGGCTTACTAACTACTGGAGAGACCAAACTGGCCTACAAGAAAGACCAAATGAAGAACAGAATAGAGGCATGGGAAGACAAAGCACTACATGGCCAATACATGAAAAAAATAGCTGGGAAAGCAGATAATAATAAAACCTGGCAATGGCTAAGAGCAGGAAAATTGAAGAAAGAGACCGAGGGACTAATTCTGGCTGCACAAGACCAAGCCTTAAGGACAAATGCATACAAAGTCAAAATTGAGAAGACAGCAACAGACAGT